GAATGACTTATAAAAAGTGTCCGTAGACTCGAATCAAAACAAAACAGGCATCCCACAGTTCCGCAGTTTTACTTTGACGACTCTCTCACGGAAGAAACCCAACACTTAATCCTCGGTTACTAACTTCTTATGAGTCACTTGTCTCTACTTTCTTTTTCCCTTTCCTACCACTCAGTCGCAGTCCAGCCAAACCAAGAAAAAAATGCAGTTTCTGGTATGGAACCAGAAGGCTGATATGTCAAGTTGATGGGTTATAATCTCTTCCCCTGTCCCCTTCTCGAGCTCATGGGTTTCTCAAACAATTGCATCCAATGAGGATTCATCTCTTTCCTTGGCTTTTCTTCACAGCCTTACTCCAAATTTTATCAGTTAGACATGTTGTCTTGGCCTCTTGGCAATGTCTTGAAGATCAGAGGTCCCTGTTGTTGGAATTCAAGAACAGTCCCACGTTCAACTCCACAAGTTCAACCAAACTGGTGCGCTGGAACAACAGCAACGACTGCTGCCTTTGGGATGGGGTAGGTTGTGATAGCTTGGGCCATGTGATCAGGCTGGAGCTTGAGAACCAAACAATTTCTGGTCAACTAGAGAGTTCGAGTAGTCTGTTCAATCTTCAGTATCTTGAGAGATTGAATTTGGCTGTCAACAGGTTCAGCTCTACTATTCCCACTGGCTTATCTAAACTTACAAAACTGACATACCTGAACTTTTCTGATGCTGGTTTTGTTGGGCAAATTCCGGGGGATTTGGCTAGTATGAGCACGTTGGTTACTCTTGATCTCTCAACCCGTTTTCCTGGATTTCAGCCACTGGAAATGGAGAATCCTAATCTACAAACGCTTATTCAGAACCTCACGGAGCTCCAAAAACTTTACCTGGATGGTGTCAAAATTTCAGCTCGGGGGGGTGAGTGGGGCAATGCTCTATCATCTTTACTAAATTTAAGAGAAATCAGCTTGTCCAACTGTCATCTTTCTGGTCCTATCAGCTCATCCCTTTCAGAGCTCCATTCACTCTCAGTCATCAACCTTGACAACAACAACCTCTCCACTGCAGTTCCAGACTTCTTTGCAAATTTCGCAAATTTGACATCACTGAGTCTCAGCTCTTGTAATCTGCTGGGAGAATTTCCTCCGAAGATACTGCAGTTGCCAATGTTGCAGAATATAGATTTGTCAGACAATAACTTCATTACAGGCACTTTGCCACCATTTCCCGAGAATGGATCTTTCAAGACAATAGCGATTAGCTATACAAATTTATTGGGTTCATTACCAGATTCCATTGGTTTCCTTGGAGCTTTGTCAAGGATAGATCTGTCACATTGCAATTTCACGGGACCTATTCCATCAACAATGGCAAATCTCACAGGACTGGTTTATGTGGATTTCTCAGTCAACAAGTTCAACGGTTCAATCCCGTCATTTGGGATGTCTAAGAACCTCATTTACCTGGACCTCTCTCATAATGATCTAACAGGCAACATTCCTTCCGGTCACTTTGAAGGCTTTGTACATCTTTCCTTGATTAACTTGGGGTGTAATTCCTTAAGGGGAAAAATTCCACCATCTCTGTTTACTCTTCCGTTCTTGCAGAAACTCCAACTTCCCAATAATAATTTCATCGGCCAAGTGGATGAATTTCCCAATGCATCTGCCTCTTTCTTAGATACACTTGATTTGAGTGGCAACCAACTTAATGGTTCAATTCCAAGGTCCATTTTTGAACTGAAAAGGCTCAATGTACTCTCACTTTCTTCCAACAGCTTTAGTGGGAGTCTGCAACTTCAAATCATAAAGGGGCTCCAAAACCTCACAAAACTTGAGCTTTCTTACAATAAGTTATCAATTGATGCAAGCAGCGGCAATTCAACCACATCCGCCTTCCCTCAGCTTAGTGTATTGAAACTAGCTTCTTGCAACTTACAAAAGTTTCCAGAGCTAAGAAACCAGTCCAAGATGATCTATCTAGACCTTTCAGACAACCAAATTGCTGGAGAAATACCTAGATGGATATGGGAAGTTGGTGGCGGAACTCTTCAACATCTGAACCTTTCCTGCAATCACCTTGTGGATCTCCCCATGAATGCCACTATGTGCAGTCTGTCTGTGCTTGACTTACATACTAACCAACTTCAAGGTGAGTTTCCTAAACCACCAGAAACAGCTATATATGTGGACTACTCAAGCAATAAGTTCAGGAATTCCATCCCACAAGATATTGGGAACTCTCTTCTTTTTGCTGTTTTCTTTTCTATTTCAAATAATAGCCTTTCCGGAGTTATCCCTCAATCCATATGCAATGCAAGTTACCTCCAAGTTCTTGATTTGTCTAACAATGCTTTCAGAGGCGGCATACCAGACTGTCTATTCTACAACATGGAGAATCTCTCGGTTCTGCATCTAGGGAGAAACAACCTCAGTGGCACCATTCCAGCTAAATTTCCAATTAATTGTGTCCTCAAAAGTTTAGACCTTAGTAAAAATCATCTAACAGGACGGGTTCCAAGATCCCTGGTCAACTGTACATCGTTGGAAGTTCTCAATATTGGCGGCAATGAAGTTGAAGATACTTTCCCCTGCATGTTAAAGAACTTATCTAGTTTGCGGGTACTAGTTCTGCGATCCAACAGGTTCTACGGAAACCTTAGCTGTTCACTGGCCAATGACAGCTGGCAAAACCTTCAAATCATTGACCTAGCTTTCAACAACTTCACTGGTGCTCTGTCCCCAAAATGCTTCTCTAATTGGAAAGGAATGATCAGCCATGGAGAAAATGGGCAATCAGATCAAGACCATCTGCATTTTCTTGTCTTGAGTCTTAGTAACCTATACTATCAGGATACTTTGATGGTAACATCCAAAGGGCTCGAGCTGGAGTTTGTGAAAATTCTGAAGGTCTTCACATCCATTGATTTTTCGTGGAATAGCTTCGAAGGAAGCATCCCAGAAACAATAGGAGAACTCAATGCACTTTATCTTCTCAACTTATCACATAATGCTTTCACTGGTACAATCCCAAAATCAATTGGGAACTTGACACAGCTTGAATCACTAGACCTCTCAAAGAACCGGCTGAGTGGAATGATACCACCACAGCTTGCAAATTTGACATTCCTCTCATTCTTGAACCTATCCTTTAATCAACTCCTTGGAAGTATCCCCAGGGGCAACCAGCTTGAAACGTTTACAGAATCTTCTTATGAGGGAAACAAAGGGCTGTGCGGCCTCCCTTTGAACATCAGCTGCAAAGGCAACAACGATGATGCTCAGGTGCCTTCCTCAGTAGATGCAAATTCAGTGGCTGAGACTGGAGTTGATTGGCAGTTCATATTCACCGGTCTGGGGTTTGGGGTTGGAGCAGCAGTTATCGTTGCAACCCTATTTGTCTGCAAGGAAGGGAGGGACTGGTCCGATAAGCATTTAGAAAGAATTGTGCTGCTGATTTTTCCAGGATACAGGTTCTCTTACACCAGGTATGATCAAGGAACGGTCGAGGCAGTGGAGAATTCGGAGGACGAGTTCCTGGACGACACAGAAGATTCTGAATTCGAGGTAGAACACGAGGCGTTTGGACGCAAGTATTGTGTATTCTGCAGCAAGCTTGACGTTCACAGAACAAGAGCTGTGCACAATCCAAAATGCACCTGTCATACTTCAGCGCCTGTATATTTTACTTCTCCAACATCTTCTTCCTCTTTGTTAATTCTGTATCATCAACATTTTTGACATTTTTATTCTCCTTTCAATGTTATTGTACATAAGCCACAGAAAATAAAAAATTCTGAACACTAATTAAATCCCGCAATTCGTCGTGCACTACTTTGTGTACGTGCGTGCGCGTGTGTTTTTTTTTTTTTGAGTAATTTTGTCGAACATTTTGGACTCATCAATATGTTTCTTCTCGTCATCGTGCTCAGAAAAGTAGGAAACGTCAAGTAGTAATTCTTCCAGTTTAACATTTTTTTATTATCCCAAGAAAACGTGAAATTTTTTTTTTTTTATATCAATCATCAACTTTTACACTACTCTTACTCAGTGGCCAATTCACCTAAGACGGGTTAATTTTTTCATTTCACACTCAAACTTCAAAGACTAGGCATTTTCATACGTTCGACACAAGAAAAAAGTTGGTACCTTTTGACTATTGCTGTGGATTCCCTTTAGGTAGTTGTGTGTGTTTGTTTGTTGCGAAAAGTTGAAAGAACAAGAAATTCGTGGCGAGGTTAATAGCTTGGAGAGTTTAGGCTTGTAGATGAGTGTTTCCTTACCCTCAAAAAACTTGTTCCCACATCGGTTTGTGGTAAACTGCATGTGTGGTTCTTAAGGTCCTCAGTGATAGTCAAAAGTTGGTACCTTTTGACTATTGCTGTGGATTCTCCTTAGGTAGTTGTGCGTGTGTTTGTTGCTAAAAGTTGAAAGACACAAGAAAAAAGAACCAAAAAAGAGTAGAGTAAAGTTGGAGAGGCCAATGACGACCTTAATCCCACTTTCTTAAAACAATAGGAGTATTATTGCTCCCTCCGTTGAGACTTGACCCGTATCGATTGACTGGTCCGAGGAAACAAGTCAAATAATTTTGCAGAGTACAAATTAATTTATGGGAATTTCGCCAATTCGATCCTTAAATATTTTCACTTAAATCAATTTCGTCCTTAATGAAATATTTTAACCAATTTAGTTCTTGAACTAGTTTTTTACTTCCAATGTAGGACTTTTCACTACATTTTATTCAATTTCCGTGGACCAACGGGTATAATTGTCACATTGATTTAATCTTGTGCAATTAGCTGACAAAACAGATTAGAGATCATCACGTAAAGGTATATTTATCACCGGAGCCACACCCTTTTCCTTTTTCATTTATTCCTCCTTCCCAACTCCGAAGAGGACATCACATAATCCTGTCTGTCTGTCTTTTTCTCATCATACAAGGGGGAATAGTCAGCCACCACACACAACGACATCGCCAAAAGATGAACGGAAAGCAAAGAACATATTCCAGACCCCACTCCCAGCCAATTCAAAGCAACAATGAATATACAAAGACTACAACGGCCAAGGACCTCAAGGCAGCTTCATATATCATCCAGGAATGGGCAATCCAATTGCTAATTTGCTAGTTGGAGATGTTAAAGACAAGAAGTCCAAATCTAAACACAAACGAGCCACATCAGGTAATCAGTATAATTTCTTTTCATGCTCTCTTGCATATAAACTACTATATTGAGATTATACAGATTACAAATAAATTAGTTGATCCAAGGGTGTGGCTTCAAGTCAGACCTCAAGTAGTTGATCCATCTCAATCTGCAACTTTTCCCACATCTAAGTAGTCCTTCAAGCGATCAAAATGGACACAAAAAAGGTATTAATTCCATACTCAAGGGCAGGCCTTGTTGCTGATATGATAATAATGGAGAACTCAAATAACTATAACTTGGTGAAATTGTTTGTGAACGAAGATAGCAGTATCATGTACACGGGTACCTGCGTTCTTTGGTAGTGACCTCCAGGAACCTTCTCCGTTGGCTTGAATGTACTTGGTCAAGATTTCATCTCTTCAGCAGTCCACCTCCCTCTCTTTATGCCCACTTTCTCACAGCAAGGGGCTCTTCCCATTATTCTTCAGGTTTCAGATCAAATTAGAGATGCTGAGCTGCCGTTCTAATTGCTCGTTTCTGAAATTTTTTTTGTAGAAAAATGAGTTTTCAAACGGGGCCTGCGTTTTAAAGGAGGAGGTGGAAGAGCCTCGCAACAAACTTTGTCGCCTAGCGTAGCTGGTTTACTTTCAAAGACTTTTTATGCATGTTTTTATTGTACACTCTCAAGTCTCAAAAGTTGAGGTACTGGATTTATCAATGTATAGAGTACAGACCTTTCTGTTCCATTTCTGTGCATTCACCTTTCTTCTTCAGCTGTTTTAGCTCTCATTCTCCAGGATCCTTCCACTCGACTTCACTTTTTGTCACTTTACTTGAGAACCCCTTGCCAGCAGCCCACAAAACTACTCGTTGACCTCACTGCCTCTTTCAATTAGGAGGAATGCACCTGCAGCAACCCCTCTTCCTGTACGTACCGCTGCCACCCACTTCCCTGCACTTCTCCTCTTTGCAACTAGCTCAATTCACCTACTTGTTCAAACTGTTCTTTTGAACCCACTGATCCCATTTGCTCCGACGGCTTGTGCCATCTCTTCCTCACAAGACCAAGGAACCGGAAAAGAGTAAGGGTGCAGGCGCTAGTTGACATCAGGCTCTCTTCTCTATTTTGTCAGCTAGTGATCTCTTCCTCGTAATGATCTCTAATCTGTTTTGTCAGCTAATTGCAGAAGATTAAATCAATGTGACAATTATACCCTGCTGGTCCACGGGAATTGAGTAAAATGCAGTGAAAAGTCCTACATTGGAAGTAAAAAACTAGTTCAAGAACTAAATTGGTTAAAATATTTCATTAAGGACAAAATTGATTTAAGTGAAAATGTTTAGGGACCGAATTGGCGAAATTCCCTTAATTTATCGGTTAAACAAAAGTTTGGAATCAAATATTGCATTTAGCAGCTTACTGACAAGAGTTGCCGATGCTAAATTTTATGTTTGAAATTACTCGAGCATGTAAAATAAACTCACCCCCAAACGTAATTATGTTCTCGTAATTCTTCAATTATTACAAGGATAGAATTCAGTGGTGGAACCAGGACCCTAAATTAGAGGGTGCAATGTGGAACTATCACGTCCGATGAGATTATTTGATGGATATATCTGTTACACATATCATTGAATCTAATTTTGTGACTTTACTTTAGCAATAAGATCATTCTACTTATTTGAGTTAGGGACATAAAAAAAAATTTAATTTTTTTTAAAAAGTATTTATTATCTGTCTTAAACACACATTTTTCAACATTTTTTAATCTCACATATTTCACATAAAATTGCTATAGAAAAGAAAAATTTTCAAATAACTTTCAATCGAAATGGATCAATCATTATATAATTTGAAGTAGATTCAAAAGTCCAACAAAAGATAATCATTATAATATCTTAATAGTTAAGGAGGCAATGCAACAATAAAAGAAAAATGGACAAAATTTAGGGGAGAGCGAATATAATGTAATTTAAAAACTTCTAAAATTTTCTAAAACTATTTTATGATTTTACCAAAGCTGTAGGGGGGGGGGGAACAGTTGCCTACCATCAACCAATGTTTTAAAAACTAACCCAGACCAATCGATTGACGATTCAAACAGGCTAAACTGTCGGTCGGCCTACTTTCTGGTCTAGGTTAGTTTCAAAAACCAGTTAGTATCAATTTACATTAAACCAGTTGAATTGCCAGTTCAACCACTAAACCGTTGAATCGGAACGATTTTGTGAGAACCGATCAATTCAATATCCAATCTTAATTAAACTAACAATTTTGAATTTGGTCAACTATTCTCATTAATGACATTCCAAATTTAATTTTTTACCAATTATCCATGCATAATTATCTCCAATTAATTAGACAATAATAATTATTGCTTTATTCTACTCATTTCTCTTTCTCCTCCATAATTACATAGTAACTCTTATTTAACATTTATAACATATAGTTAACTATATTAGTTTTGTTTCGAATCTTGAAAGCATTTCATGTTTTTGTTAATGCCTTTTAATCCTTTAATTTTTATTATATAAACTAGTACTCATATAATTTAGGAAACTTAAAAACATTTGAAATAATACTAATTAAAAACATTTAACTAATACAAGCTATTTTTGAGTCTAAAATACTACTTAGAAGAATAGAATGAGAATTAAAGTAATTATATTTAACAATATGACTTAAGTTTCTACAAATATTTGTTTGTTTTTAAGATTTTAATATTTATGACATCATGAGTTAATAATGGACTTTTAAGATTTTAATATTTATGACATCATGAGTTAATAATGGACTTTTAAGATTTTAATATTTATGACATCATGAGTTAATAACGGACAACTCAACAGTTGAACCGACTCTTGACCCATTCATTTTAACGGTCTAAGTGTCAGAACCTTGCCATCAACAATATGTAGCACCGCTACCGGTAGTATTATTGTCAGAGCACATTATACAGTGCTAGAGCAACTTTGCCCACTAAGACCAAAAAAAAAAAAATGCCCTCCGACCATATGAAATGTGTAAACATGGTGAATTTGATGAAGCGATGGATGTCCAAAAAGGGGTTGGTGCGGTGTAATTACGCATACATAACGCTCTTACTGATGGTTACCGTAAGAAGAAATGTTTGCCGCTGCCTCTGATTTGTTGGAATGATGACATAAAAATTGTAGTACAATATTACAATGAACTGGTTTCTCAAGCCTAAAGGGTGCACAACTTAATGGCATCACTTGATAACATGCTTGAATGAAAGTTGTCTCTTAACTTTCATGGGAATTGACAGTGCTTTTTGGTTGCTTAGGTTGATGATTAGCTGACATATTTTGCCCCTCACCTTCCTCATATTCAAGATAAATGCTGCATGGCCGATATAACTGCCATTATAATCTAATTAATTTTGTTCCATTTTGCTGATACACTATCAGGTAATCAGGTCTATTTGACCAAATGCTGAACTACATAAATTAATGATTTGAGGGCGGAACATGTTCATACGTTAGTGGCAATATTTCCTTGCCTTCCGGTAAGGGTCATTCTCAATAAATGTGATTTGTCTCATTCTCAATAAATGTGATTTGTGACGGGACTTGTAAAGTATCAACGGTTAACTAAATTCCACGAATTTTTTGAAATTGCTAGGTTTAAAAGTAGAGTAAATCTAATATACATTGTCAGTGTATACACTATTCTGATTGGATGAATGACATATGAGTAAAATTTGAATGTAACAGTGTATACACTATCACGGTTAGATGAATGGTACGTGTAAAATTTGATAGTGTATACAAGATTAATCCTTAAAAGTTTTCAAACATCCTAAAAACATAGAGTACATTGTAAGCAAAGACACCCAAAAAAGATACCAAAGCGCATCCAACTTCACTAACCTTCCATTTTTACACCCTCGGCCTCATGAAACTAGCATACAACCAAAATCATCACTTTATGCAATCAGTTAACACGGGTTTTACAGTAGGACCAGAGGCATGGAGAAACTCAGCAGAACAAAGTATCAAGTTGGATTACGTTGCAGTGTTAAGCTCAACCTAACAGCACTGCCAACAACTACCCAAAGAACCAAAAGTTCATAAAAGACGCACGGTAGAAATGTCAGCAATATTTGAGATTTGGGGGGTGAGTTCTTTTATGTGAAAACTCACAGACACAAACGCAACTGTTGCAGATAAAAGCCAGTCAAACAATAGGCATTGATAAAGAGAGAAACAAGAAGAACGCAAATAGTAAGCAAGTGTAAAGTGAAAGTCAATCAAATTTATTCGTCTTAAAAATTGGTCTTCAATTTTGTTTTAGGAGTTGCTCCTATTTAATATTCACAGGAATTACATGGATATTGGAGTTTTTTGCAACTACTTGTTTAATCAAACTTTTGACATCTATTCCATACCCATAGAACAAGAAAACACAAGTACATGAGACTATTGAAAATCCTTGATATGGAACACAAAACTTACGGAAGGCAAATAATAAAGATGTTCCTATGATTTACTCTCAAATTTTTCTTTTTTCTTTTTTTTTTAAAATCTCAAATTTAGTCCAACGTTGGTGGTCAAAAAGTTTTCGTAGCCTCAACGTTACCAAGAACACCAGGCTTCAAAGCAGATTCATCAAGTTCACTATTCCCTGATTTTCATAGTCAACATTAGTTTGTTAATCAACATCAAGTTTGTTAATCAACATTACTTTACACAGAACACGTGGTTTGAAATTTAACTACTTCAACTATTAACAGCCAAGTTTCAAAAAAAAAAACTATTAACAGCCAAGTCTTTAAGCCCAACATTGAATAAGTTATGTACGTAGCATGCTTAGCAAAGCAAACATGACATTCCAGGCTTTAATCAAACAATATTGATCCAAATCTACAAACAGAAAAAGGCCACAAGATGGAATTTCACTCACTTGAGCTATAAAAAGTTGTCCAGAAAGTGTAATAGCTGTCTGCAAAAAGACAAAAAATGATGAAGTCATTACCAACTAACTAAAACAGTTACAGTCAACCCACACACTCTTACTTTGAATTTCCAATCATTCATACTTGGTATCAATCCCTATCTCTCAACCTGTAGCAAACATATGAAACTTATTAGAGAATAAAAGAAAGTTTAATCAAGAGAAAAATGTATACATAGAATAAGAATGGAGAAGCCAGTAATTTTCAGAGAGAGAAAGAAATATAAAGACAGAAGGGAATTTTGAGACAGAAGTTTCGAGTAGGAGGAGGTTGAGCTATGGAAAATTTTTTGTATGGGAATTGATCAGTCTTCTCAGAATTGAGCCCTACCCGCTGTTGCAGATAAAGGAATTTGAGGGAAGACCTCTGCTTTTGCAACTCCCAGTGTTTTACCCGCCAGCAAAGAGGGGAAATTTTTTTTTGCACAGACAGGGGAGAGTTTTTTTTTTTTTTTTTTTTTGTTTGACGGAAAGGATTGGGAAGAGATGGCTCTGAGGTCTTTCTGTCAATTTTTCTAAGGAACACTCTGACATGAGATATTCCAGCAACACCTCTCCCCATTCATCAGATTCGGCAACAACCAATCTAACAATTTACCATTCATCCAGTATCTTGCTCAAAATAATTATTTACTTTTTAACCACGAAGACGCACACATAAAAAAGCCTTGTTCCATTTTTTCCACTTGACCAGATGTTCAAAAAAAAATTGAAGCACAAGACAAAAGAGACAAAAGAAAGAAACTTTTGAGGGCTAAGAAACAGATATTACACAAACAAACATGAAAAATGCTTTATTTCTCTAATTCTTCAAAACCCCATGGAACCATAAGGAATGCCCTTTGGGAGGAGTTCAACAAACATTTGCACAGAAGAAAAGAGACGAAATGATTACAAAGAAAAACCTGTCATTAGTTGCTGTTCATTCTTCTTCTATCACATAGCTGCCATTAAAACAAGAAGTGAGATTTAGAATACCAAAAAAGAGGAAAAAGAGAAAAAAAGGAAACTGTAAAACAAATAAAATAAAATAAAACTACTAAAAAATAATCACTTAGTCAGTAAAATACTGTCAAAACCTCCATTAAAATCACAATCACTTCCACTCAATTTTCATCATCTTCTTCCGCCTAAAAAAAGAAAACCACCAAAAAAAAAGCCATCTCTCCAAGTCCAAATTAATCTAACAAAAAAATCCTTTAAAGAGAAAGAAGCATAACTAGTTTTCTAGTACTCAGGAACAAGTATATCAAAGCAAAAAAAATAAACCGAAGTTTTCTTGCTAATCTGGGAGTATGATAGAGAAAAAATCTAAGAGCATAACATACAAAGGACGCAAGAAAGGGGAGAAAGTGATTTGTTGCTTTTAGCCAAGAAAAGATCAGCAAAAAAATGGCAGAGAAATAGAAGGAATTATTAACCATGATTACTCAAGGGAGGAGAGAGGGAAGAGGGAGATGAAGAAGAAGGGAAGAAAACAAAGAAGGGGAGGACCACCCATTCCGCCTCACAATCCCCCAATCAGCTCCGGCAACATAGGTGGACAACCAACATGAGGTGGCCTGGGGGGTGAGGTGGTCTTCACTCTTATACTATATTGGATAATATGTGTGATTGGCTCATCATGACAAAGGATGTAAACAAACAAAAAACAGAAGGTATAGGAAATACCTGGTTCAGAAGAATATTCAGTCTCTGAGAAAGCTAAATTCATAGTTGGAAAAAGAAAACACAATGTTTTAAAGCAATATCTGCAATTCACAGCCAATGCACCAGTAAGTAACTAAAAACTTGCAATTGAATCAAAAGTTGTCGACCCCAATTTTGTCTCATCTGCATTAGTTTCAATTCAACTAGAAAAAAGGCCATATGGATCTGAGAAAATCAATAGAGCATCAAATGAAGCACCACGACATAAACAATCAAGTACAAGACTGGTTCAAAGAGCATGATGAATGACAAGAATTTGAAATTTATTCACAAGATTTAAGGAGAACAGAAAAAAAAAAAAAAAAGAGAAAAAAGCCCAAAATGTTAAGTACACCTAAAAGCCCAGCAGTCAGGAAACTTTTCTGAAGACTTGGATGGCGTATCTTAGCTGAAAGCCTAAAAACTTCGTATGACAAGATTTTCATTTCTTGCCTCATTTTGGCACAACAAAACTACAAATACATGAAACAAAGGTTAACATGATCAATCAATCTAAGAAAAAGCTGAAATGACAAAAATTGACAAAAGAAAGGATTAAAATGGGAAGCTTCATTCGTCTAGTTAGTGAATGCATACAACATCAATTATTAAATAATGTACATAAAATGCTCGTGTTCAAAAGAACTGGGTCACAGCATAAGCATGGAAAAGTACTGCTCGAACTCTTTATCAATGGTTAACTTCTTGGTGCTTTGCTGAGTATCTGCATTCAGATAATGCAAAAAATTTCACAGTAAGTGCATGTTCTGTGATAAGGAAATGATTTAGGCAGAAAGGAATGAATTAAGACAGTGAAGAACTTCAAGTTACATGATAAAAAAAAACCTTGCATTCAAATAATGTTGACAAAACAGAGCATGAGAAGAATGGTCTTTCAGCTTAACATGGTTACCTTGGTTGAGAGTCCAACTTCCAGAAGAAAGAACATAATTATTCGGATTCACCCCATTAGAATAAAGCATTTCTTCAAGTTCCTTGTCTGTGTATTCTTCAAAGCCAGCTCTGCATTCTGGACAACTGCAATCGCCATGACTTCCAAATTCCAGGAGGTGCTCCTCATAATTCAGGGATGACTTCAGGCCGATATCATGATGGGGAAAATCATGCTTGTTGCCAATAGATGGTGATTCCAGAATACCGGAACTTGATTCCGTTATGAAACTGCTCTCAGAAGAATTTGAGGCATGCTTGGAACAATCGCCTCCCCAGTCAACAGAAGAATTGACAGGCTTGTCAGATGAATATTCTTTGAAATATCCATGACCAGCTCCTACTTCAGCTTCGTTAGACACAGAAATGCTCGAGTCAGCATCAGCAATAACACTGTTGCTATCTTTGCCAGACTCTTGTTCTGATTCCTCAGCTGTTGATTTTCCACTTAACTCCCCTTTATCTATTACATCTGACTCAGCATCAGCAGGAAAAATATACTCTAGAGCAAAGCCTTGACTTGGCCATTTAAGCTTTGGTGGAGGTGTGCCTAATTCTTCTGCTTGCAATTTCCGTTTCCTATCCATGAAAGAATGCTGGTTTGAGACACCTCCTCAATCAGAGCACTGGGAGAGAGAAAATTGTGAGGAAAGCTGGATATAGAAGCTTGTAACAAGGGAGAAAAAATGGAGTCAATCTCTTCCCATTTAGATTTTGTAATGCTATTTGGTCAGTACATGCGAGCATGAGAAGATCAGAGTTTGGTCAGAACATGCAAGCATGAGAAGAGAAAAGTAATGTGATTTGAACAGCTCTGTTATGAAATTGTAGCTAGGTGAACTAGAATGATCAAGGAAGATCAAAATTCAATAGTAACATCACAAGCATGGCAAGTCTCCTTTACAGTAAGACAGCATTAGTTTGAATTATATGCTTGAGAAATAAGATAAATAGAGCATTGCATTGATAGCACCTCCTAGAGACCTAAATGAACTAGCTATACCACCTTTAAAGATGGGGGGAAGAAAAAGCAAAAAAGAGGTTACCCCTACGCATTATCAAACTACAGACCTCAAGACCACTCAAATATGTAAGGCATAACAATCTTCAGCAACCACTCTGATTGAACCTTCTTCATCTGCTTGATTTACATATTAAAAAAAATTGTTGGTTTTCAAGGAACAGCACGAATTTAAAATGGTTGCACAAACCATTTTAAGGTCTAGTATATTGGTCCTTTCTTCCACTCAAGATTATGCAGCTAAATTCTAAAATTCACCAGTCAATGCCTAATGTAAATTCAAATGCAACATTGTCCATCATTCTTCTTGACGAATCTACAAAATTTTCAACCCATTTCCATTTAAGATAATGCAACAAGATGAGTAAAATTCTGATTTTATCATTAAACAAGTACGGAAACTCAGTAAATATATTATAAAGGGAATCATATTCGTTTTCGACAAACAATAAACTTCCCCAACTATTAAGGCAAGACTCAAAATCTCATGCCAGAGACGCGGAGGTTGCAGCCATGTTCAAAGCACAATGTTGAGGTGAATGAGCAATTTCAATAGGAAAGCTGATACCGCAAATGGCACTGATACGAAACACACAATGAATGCACAAGGACTAGGCAGATATCCTCGGTAAGACGCACGGTTCAAAGACTCAGCTGAGTCATCACGGAACTTCTGCTTCAGTCCGCGACCGTCCCCCATTTCCCGGGGACGGTAGACCCGGTGCAAACTCGTTCAGACTCACTCGGAAGATTCGGCCTGAGTCAACTCCGGGACTCAAAAAAGCAGCCGAGTCTACCGAGTCAACCGGTAATATCCATGAACGGAGGTTTTCACCATGATTTTCAGAGACTTTTAGTGTATAAACAACTAATTAGATAAAAAAAATTACCCGAATCCGACTTATGGGAAATTGCACAGTAAGACAGAAATAACAAATCAATCTTTAACTTAAAATTCTCTCTTTGAAGGCTCTTCACTAAACAGCAAATGGGTGGCAGAGATTCAAGAGAAGGAAAAGGAAGAATAAAAAGGCCAAGAAGACGAGGAGGCTTTCATATCATACGCACCGATGGTGGTGGTGAAATTTGGAGAGGAGAGGAGAGCGAGGAAAGAAGAATGAAAGGCAGACTCGCGAGGGAGGAGATGGCTATGGTAGGAGGACACTCCAGGCTGGAAGGAATAATTTCAGAAACCTCCACGATAGGGTAATTTGCCAAATTGATCCCTAACATTTGCCAAAAAAACTTTTTTAATCCTTAACATTTAAAATCAACCAGAATTATCCCTAACATTTAAATTATGATTCATTTTGGTCCTAATGCTCGTATTTGCTTATTTTTTTAACTGAAAATAGCACGCCCCTCTCTCACGTGAGTATATTTTCAAGGGCAAAATCGAAAAACACACTTTATTTTCGGTTAAGTAAAGCCATCTTTCCTTCATATTTCCCCATTTGTGTTCTAATTGCCTCATTGAAAGAACGAAATTGAAGAGGAAAAACATAGCTGCAACTGGATGGCTGTGTAATGGAGGAAGAATAGTAAAAAAATGTAAAGAATAAGCTGGCATATTGAAGAGTAAAATGGATCCGAACAATGAGCGATGTCTTTGTGGAAAGGAGCCCATCATTGTAACTTATTGGAAACCTGCAAATCTAGGGAGAAGATTCTATGGTTGTCCAAATTATGGAGTAAGCTTGCTAAACATTTCAGGTCAGTTTGGGTTTGGGGTGTGGGGTTAAAATTTGGTCTTGATATGTGATATTCTTTGTGCATTTTAGGTAACTCGTGCTTGTTACTACTTCAAGTGGTATGACCCGCCAATGTGTAGTAGATCTGTGTCAATAATACGTGGTCTATTAAAAAAAATTAACCGGTTGGAAGCTGATCAAGAACGGAGAATCTGAAGAGAGAAATTGCTTTGGACTAGTTTGGTTGCCTCTTGGATGTGCACTTTGCTACTGTTAATGAGTTGGAATTGAACTAAAATTAGAAGATAGTTGTTGGTAGATCTAGTATGTTAATAAACTGTTAATGAAGTGTGTTTTCTGATTTTGCCCTTGAAAATATGCCCACGTAAGAGAGACGTGCTATTTTCGTTCGAAAAAAATGAGCAAATACGAGCATTAGAACCAAAATGGTTTATAATGGGTTTGTTTGGATTATAAGTTATTTGGGATATTTTTATTGTAACACTTTTTGTGATGTGATGTATGTGAGATAAAAAGGTAATCGGGAAGATAAAAAGGTGTATTGGAAATTGTAATGATGATATAAACAAATAAAATTGGAGAAATAATGTTCAATCCAAACAAACCCAATTTAAATGTAAGGGACAATTCTAACTGATTTTAAATGTTGGGGACTAAAAAAGTTTTTTTGAAAAATGTTAGGGACCAATTTGGTAAATTTTCCTTTTGCCTATTTTGTCCCTAAACTTTTTCACTGAAACCGATTTAGCCCTTTATTGTTTTTTTTTCACCAATTTAGTCCTCAATCAAAAAAAAAATTTTTTTTGTTCCAATGCTGGCTTGCACGAGCACTACCAGATTTTGCCTGTTAGTGATGCCAAGGAAGGGGTAGGGATGCTATCGAGGTCGAGTAGTACCATACTCGAACTCGAGCTCGAGATCGAACAAACCTCAAACTTTAGACTCGAGCTCGACTCAATATAGTTAAAAACAACTCGAGCTCGAACTCGTACAAGATTCGAACTCGAGTACTTGAGCTAAACTCGTAAAATGAGCAAGAAAACCTTTGTTTTCTAGACCAGAATTCAGCAACAATTGAGTGCAAAAAACTGTACTTTCCTTCAATAAAATAGCAATTCATATAAAAACATGCATTTTGCTTCATTTCAACGCAAATGCCAATCATGTGATTCAAGCACTCTAAAATCAACAGTATCAAACTAGTTAATATGACAGATAATAAGACAGTTTCTCAATAGCCAAAATAGCTATGTATGCAAAAGACCATCAAATCTTTACCATCAAATCAATAGCAATAGAAGGAAGTTGAACTTATTTCATAGTCGTACCTTTTCACCCATGACAGCTTCCCACGAGCTCAAGCTAAGGTGGTGCTGAAAACCTCCAACTTCAAGGGAGACAGATGGGGTAAGTGGGTAATGAGCTAGCAACGGTCTTTGAAGTTTACCTGTCCTACTAAGCTACGAGCCGGCGATGGTCTTTGCTGGTGAAATTTTGCACAGAAGCTACAACGAGCCAATGAGGAGGAGACATGACTTGGGAGTTGAAAAGAGGAAAAAAGGCTCGATGGGGACTGACTGATTCAAAATAGGTATGGTGGAAAACCTCTATTAGCTAAAGTAGACTTGGCCCACTTGAGATTCCTTTTGATTACGTAAAATAGGATGTCCTAACACCCAAAAAGAAGAATGCAACTTGTGGACCATTCTTTTTAATTTAATTATCACGGTTCATTGCACCAGACAAAAATTTATTACCTAAATTGAGAGGCATCCCTCAGAATTATGAGCCAGTCTATGTTTTCAGACTCGGACTGGGTATCGACTCGACAGAGCTCAAGGATCAGAGATTAATGGGTTCGATCGGGTTTAACCAGAAGTCGAATCGGATGACGTCATAAATATATATTAATGATAAATAATTAAAATAGCATATAAAAATTCCCTTTAAATTGATGGTTTACAACTTTATATACATATCTAATGAGTTTGGATTCAGTCCAAAACGACTGCACTTAAAAAATTTAAAAGTTATAGGTAAAATTGTAGTTTAAAAAGCATAATGGGTTGATTTTATACTTATTAAAACAATATGGGGTCAAATTGATATTATTAAAAAAATTTTAAAACTACCAAACCTAATGGAATGTAAGCCGCCGCCCATTGTTCCTTTGCTTTTCACTTTTCTTAGTTTCGTCTTCTTCCTTTCTTTCACGCAGCTCCTCTTGTCTTTTTATGCTCTTCATGTCTCCTCCCATTCACCTCACCGTAACTCTTTTTTTTTTCTTTATCCCTCACAAATCAAACACACATGAAAACTCTATTATTCTTTGTTATTCTTCTTTTTCGCTCCTCTCCATTCTCTTCCCTTCTTTACTCTAATCTTTATTTTTCCTTCTATTTGATTTCAAATATTTCAAGAACTAATTCGCATGAAATCTGGATTAGAAAATTTGGGGAATGAATTTTTTCTCTTCATCTGGCTAGTTGCTTCATTTCTTTTAGAGTTGGTCAAAGATCAAAGAATGGAAAAAGGGAAAGAAAAAGCCAATATTAACTCAAGATCTTGTTCAAGGCAGGCATCAAGCTTTGTATCAGATATTTGATCATAAATCTTGTCTGGACGGCCCTCATTTACAGATTTAGAGGTGAATAAGAAGGCATCTATTCTCTAAACCTTGAAGAAAGACAAGCCTAACAGCAAACGTAAGTGAGGAGAGATTTGGTTGGAAATTTTTTATGCACACTCTAGATGCTTGCAAGAAAGGAGTACAATCGGAATGGAGAAATGAAGAAAATCGGGTCCTTTTCGGTTCTAGCGGTTTCCGGTCAAACCCGAGTTTTGACCGAGTTGACCGATTCTTTGATTGACGGTTTTTTAAAGAGACTCGGACCGGATGCTTAGCCAGTTCTCGGTTCAATTGGTTGGACCGATCAGTCCGGTCCGAGTCTGAAAACACAAGAGCCAGTGCCTGTGGGGAGGTCTCTCTCTCCTAAAAGAACTTAAGAACTTTTCCTTTTTAATGTTTTCAAATTAAGTTCTCTAAAAACAAGAAATAAGAATTATGATTTATGAAATCCCTACTTTGTCCACACAAATAAATAAAGGTGGTAGAATGGTTCATTGTAAATTTCATAAATTGTTTATTTATATTAGTAATTTTATATATAATTTTTTTTTATTTTTTATGTGATACTCAATAGAGCTCGTCAAGCTCTTGAATATCAAATGTCTAAGATCGAGCTCGACTCGCTAGCTCTAACGAACATCTCGAGCTCCAGATCGAGTTCGATCAAGCGATCTCGAGCTCAAGCTTTTGACCGAGTAGCTCGCGAACTCGAGTCGAGCTACTCGGTTCAGCTCCACCCCTAGGAAGGGGTATATAGGAAGCTCATATCTGGTTCTCTAATTTTAGAGATTAGAATGAATCCCCTGATGCTTTTCTCTCAAAATCTCATAAATTGCGAAAGGCTACTGCTAGGGTTTAGAACTGGCGACTGGGTTTGATTAAATAAGAGATAAAATTTGATGACCAGAATGGCAAAGAGCAAATGAACGCAGCAACGACGTGGTTTAAGCTTTCATTAGATCCTATTTAGTTGAAATTGAACTTTGGTTTTAGTACTTGGATGTGACTATTAAGCAAGTGGGTTGATTGATTAAAGGAACGATGTGGGGTTAGGCTAATTTGTTTGAAATATATCTCCTCCGTGGATAAATTTAGGGATGGTGAAAGGTTAATTTTTTTTTTTATATAAATATAACTAAGAGTTGTTTACAGCGATGGATCCCTTTGGTTGCCAACTTTCATATGTTGTTGCTTTCATGTTCTAAAAAAAATGAGACAAAGCGATAAGGAAAGTCAATGGTGCTATTAATTATTTAATTTTTTTTTAGAAAAAAAAGGGGACGAGAGGATGATTTCTTTACTCTAAAAATCTATCATGGTGGTGACTCCTAAGTATGTGGAGGGCAATATGGAAAGTTAAAGAGGGTCACTAGTACCATGACAATAAACAAAGCAATTGTAGGTGATTATTGCTATCTACTCGGATAGGGTAGGAATGCAAAAATGATGTATAGAATTCCCCAGCAAGATGGTTCGTTTCTTTTGAAGGGTATAGACAGTGATGATGATGTAGTTGATATGGCTTTGCATTGGCAAGTAGAATGGAGAAGTTGAAGTTTACGTTGCTGATGAGTTTCGCATCGGATCCGTAGGTACTAGGTAGTAATAGGTGTAGGGGTTTAGATGGAACTAGTGGTCAGAATGGTGTAAATATAGTAGATGAAGATGACTTCTTTGTAAACATCAGTTTTGAGGATATAGACCTGGCTAACCTTGAGGATATACCAGTTTATATGGAGAAAATGAAGGAGCTTCCATGATAGTGATTATGATTTTTCTAAAGATGATGATGATGATGTGATATTTCAGTCTTCTATTGTG